ACAATATGAAAAACCGGTCGAAATTAGAACGCATATTTCTGGCTCGGTATTGGGGGAAATTGGCGCCAGCAAATAGAGACTGGCGCCAGATTTTAACTGTAGCATCTGGCGCCAATACTGGCGTATGGCGCTACGGCTAAAATTATGGCGCCAAGCTCTGGCCCCTGATGCTACTTCCCACATGCCTCAACAGCTTTCTGTGCTCGATAAAATTTTTCAGTTTCGCGCGGTGTTATTTCAGTCCTAGTTGTGAAAGACATTCCTCAAATTTCTTACGTATAAAATCCTATGTTTTTAACTCATTATGGATGGTCTTTCCAATGAGATCTTTTTTATGCATATGACAATAATGTTAATCAAAATTACGCACATGAAATACTTAGAACTTTTTGAGTCTCATCCACTCATTCTAAATCATTGCCGAAACAAATTCAGGAATTAAAATAGAAATCCTCCCTAGTGGAGTCGCCAAAAAACTGTAGGGAATAAATTCAAGCCTTAATCCCACTAGCTTGAACCCCACTGTGATCATACACTAAAGTACGGTGGCGTCTAAAAGGGAAGAAGATAGAGCAAAAGAGTCGCCAACAAGTTTTTTTAGGAACTTGTAAACCGTTCATAGGATGAAGGTTACACCCCTTAACGATCCAAGAGATCGTCAACTCCATAAGGTCATGAACCAAATAAGGGTTCGGGGATGATGGTACAAATCCAACCTAAAAGAGATTGAACCTGCCTTAATAATAGGCTTCTACTTTATTCTGCTCGTATTCATGTGCGCTTTCTGATTAACATGCAATCAATAGGATTAACCCTAAACCTATTTAATCTATGTTGGTTGAATTTAATGCACAAATAAACTATTATTGGCGATCACTTGAATTATAATCACAGTTAACCTAACAAGATTATTAATTATCTTATTAAGCGTGATTACAAGTACCAATTCCCTTCAAACATGCGTAAAAGGCGTGATCAAGCAATAACAATAAAAATCATCAAGCAACATAACAAATAATAACGATGATAATAATAATAAACATGAATAATAATAATAATAATAATAATAATAATAATAATAATAATATCATCATAAATAAAATAATAATCATCAAAATAATAATAATAATAATATTCACAATCATAAGTATTTAATATTAAAATTACCCTAGACATGATACTAGGAATATCATAATAATAATGTAAACATGAATTCTACATCATAATATCAATAAATCAATAAAAGCACTTACTTTGATGCTTCGTAGTCTTTCTAATAACAAAATACACACGTTAGTAACTTCAAGGAAAATAATAATCAAACAATTAAATTAAATAATTGAAATAGAGATTTGGGACCAAACCCTCAAAAATTAAAACCTTTCACGTCTAGGGCGAAGGCAACTTCGAATATGGCTAGGTATTTCTTGATCTTGCGAATGCGGAATTCTGTATAAAGAGCAAAGTTTTAAAAGAAAGAAAGAGATGAATGAATTAGAGAATGCTAAAGAAAAACTTGATGAGAATTGGTGAATGGATGGCGAGAATTGGTGAATGAATGGAGTTTTTAATACGATATTTATAGAGAAAATCAGCCAAAAAAGATAAATTAACAAAACAGAGTTTGACGCTCAGAAAACAGGGCTGGCGCCAACCCTGGCTAGCTGGCGCCAATGGCTAGCGCCAGGCGCCAGGCCTGGTTCCAGGCGCCAAGGCCTGGGGTCAGACGCCAAGCTTGATTTTAACGCGTTTTCGAAAATCCGATAAGTTTACCGTAATGGAGGATAAAATAATATAATTTTTTCGAAAATGCTATTTGATTTTACTTAAAACTCTAAAAAGTCAACAAAAGTCAATTTATCAATGCTAATTGAATTAGGAATGAAAAGAACCTTCTAGAAGAATCTAGAAGACTAAAACCACTCCTAATTGCATTAGGAATGATAAATCATATTAGGCCCTCCCCTAGATCATTGGCCGCATGTAAAGCTCAAACCGAGCCCAGTTTGGTAAATTGGCCATAACTTCCTCAATATTCATCGGAATTGGGCTTATAATATATCGTTGGAAAGCTCTTTGTAAGCCCCATCCAACTACACTACTATTGGACCCATATCATGGACCAATCAAATTGGATTGGCTATTTTCTTAAAATAAAGTTTTCAAAAACAGAGAGAAGAGAAAAGAAAATAAAACTTTCCGCAACACTAGACTTTCCACACTTTCACTTCATTCGATTATGATTCGACGCGAAAGGCACTCATCACCGGGTTTGGTTTTGGGGAGACACAAATGGGTGTCTACAATCAGTAATATCATTACTATGTTTAGAAATTATATTTAAGAAATGAGTGATGTTTATCAGGAAATAAAACATGTTAGTCAGGAATAGAATTATTTTCTTCAGAAATTTGATTAATTCTGTCAGGAATAATAAAAATTATCAAAACTTAATTTTGATTATAAATCTAAAATCTCAAATCAAAATATACTAGAATTAAAAATAATATTTTTTACAAATATTTTTAATGAATTAAAATATTGATCTAGTCAGGAATTGTTTTGACAGTGATATATGACTTGATAAGTGTGCATATAATCTTCATCAAGAGAAACATCAAAGAATTTGACGTATATGCTCCTAGGCTGGTCTCAAATTCCAACTTAAAATCCTTGTATAAGTTCAGAGTATAAATTGATTTAGTCAGGAATAAGATTCTGTTAGTCAGGAATTAACTTACAGTAATCAGGAATTAAATTGAGTTAGTCAGGAATTAACTTGAGTTAGTCAGTAATAAGTTTTTGTTAAGTCAGGAATGAAATTGTGTTAGTCAGGAATAAACACAGGTTAGTCAGGAATAAACTTGAGTTAGTCAGCAATAAGATTTTTTATGTCAAGAATAAAATTAGGTGGGAATAACATTGTCCTAATCAGAAAACAAAATAATTTTTTTCAGGAGTAACAAAAAAATATCAAACCTTAAAATACCAAAATTAAAATACCAAAATATAGTATTTTTTACAATTATTTTGAATAAAAAAAATATTTGAAGATTGGCCTCATGATAGAAGAAGTCAGCAGTAGGGATATATTAAATGAGTTGTGGATTTGGAGTTATTGTTCCAAACTCATTTGGATCTCTTGTTGCTGTTCTTCTTCTTTCAAAATGTCCTCTAATTCTTTTGTTCTTCTTTGGCCTTCCTTTTATTTTTGGTCGTTTTGGATCTTTTACTGTATTTCTTCTCTCTTCTTCTTCAAGTTCACGAATTTTTTTTTCATTTGTTTGAAACACTTTCCTTACAGATTTGTACATTTGTTCCAAAGCATCATCACATATTTTTGATGCTTCTTCATTCCCTTGACATATTGTCACAAGGTTGTAAAAATTATTTGTTATTGATTGCCTCCAAGGAGTGTTTATTAATGAATGATCTGTAGTTGAATTTCCTAACAAAAAAGAATAGATTACTACATTTTTGTCAGTAATAAGAAAATTTTACTCAGGAATAAAACATGCAGCTCAGGAATAGTGTTATAATTTTCTGCTAAAACAATATTATAATATCAGATATAAAATTATTTATGTCATGAAAAATGTAAGAAAAGTCAGCAATAAGTTATGCCATGATATTTTTTTTCTGTTTGAGCCATAAGTTTTTTGACAAAATTGATTTCATTCCTGATAAATTTTATTTGTCAGAAGAAATATCAAAATTTTCAAGAAGAAAAATTATTTTGTTGAAAATTGATACAAATCTGAAAAAATAATTTATTGCATTTCTGAAAAAAGTCATACAAAAGTGAATAAAGTCATGAAAAAGTTCTATAAATCTGAAAAGTAATTAATTGCATCATTGAAAAGTCATTCTAATCTAGAAAAAGTAATTTATTGCATCATTAAAAACTCATTTAAATTTGACTGAGGTTATAATTTTTTCTGTTAAATTACAGATTATTTATTGTTGTTCATACATAACTCTTCTCTATTTAAAGCCTGTTCTAAATCAAGTTTTTTCTATTAAAATATTTATATTAATATATACACTGTTTCTATAAAAGGTGCAGTTTTGTAACAATAAGTTATATTTTTCTTCATCTAATCAAGAGTTATAAGATAATGGCTGATTTCTACGCAAATAAAGAAAAATGCACTATTACTTTCAAAACAATTCATCGCCTTAGTATGGTAAATATATTTTACATTAAGTTTTAAATTTATAAATTTGTTTTGTGTTTTAGTAAAAACTTAGTGATTTCATTTTTTTTTTCAGCCACTTCCTGCAGAATGGAAGTTTTTTCTTCTAAAATTCAGGCATCATGTAAGAGTTTATGCTTGGAATAATGGCAGAGAAGATAGATTTTGGGAAGTAAGAGTCATAAGCATACCAGAAGATACAGGGTATGGTGGTATGTTGATTGATCGTGAATGGGAAAACTTCGTAGCTACTAACAACATAGTTCCTGGAGACAAACTTGATATTTACCATGACCGTGATACCATTTACATTAGAATTTTTAATGCTGATGGTACTGAAAGACTTCCTAATGAAGCAGAAAATGGTACCAATAATGTTTAAGTTTTTTAATATTAAGATTATGTTTGTAATAAATCTGATTTTATATCAGAAATAATAATATCTATATCGATATTAAACTATGATTTTCAGATATAATAATATTTGTATCTGATTATAATATGTTGTTCATTGTTCATTATCTTCAGGAATTAGATTATTTTTGTCATTTATTAGATTTGTTTTGTCAGGAATTAAATTCTGTATGTCAGGTATTAAAATATTTTAATCGAGAATTAATTTGAATATTTCAGGAATTAGATTGTATATTTCAGGAATAAAATTGTTTCAATCATAAATTAGATTGAATATATCAGGAATAATATTATCTTTTTCATGTATTAAATTTTTTTGACCAGATATTACTTTATTTAGGTCAGGAATAAGATTATCTAGGCCAGGTATTATACTATTTAAGTCAGCTGTTACATTTCTATGTCAGGAAATTATTTATGTTAGTAATTAAAATATTTAGCTCAGGAATAAAGATATTTTTATTTTATACTAAATAAACAAGTAATAAATTTTAAAATAACAAAGTATGTACGTACCTGATTCATTCTCATCCCATATCCTTGATTTAGCAAGCTTGGTCCAACGTTTCAGAATGTATCTCTCTGGTATAGCATGTATGATGTACATTTGCATTGTCTTGATAATATGAAAGCACAACAATCCAGTCTCTATGAAGCACATACAAGAACACATAAATTCATTGCTTTGACAGTGATATATGACTTGATAGGTGTGCATATAATCTTCATCAAGAGAAACATCAAAGAATTTGACATATTGCATTGAAGTTGGCTTTTCCTTTGCATATGCTCCTAGGCTAGTCTCAAATTCCAACTTAAAATCCTAGTATAAGTTCAGAGTAGTATAAACTTCAGCAGCATATTTTAAGATTTTTGTTTTTGTTTTTTGTTTCTCAGTAGTACATCTGAAGTTGTCACTCTTTTCAGTGCTTCTCCATCTTCTCACAGTAGCTTCAAATATATGAAAGAACACCAAAAGTTTAGTGGTTCTGTTGGCCTTAAATGAAATTGCTCTGTTTGTTACTTCTACTCTTTGAGATGAAAGGATTCCCGCAGAGAAAATATCCTTGCTCAAAGCAGTGCACCATTTCTCTCGTAGCCCGAACAACCTATCAAACCACTCTTTTTTTTTCTAATCCATATTTTTGAACCATCTTGTTCCAGACATCTTCGAATTCTGATTCTGAATCACAGCCCCTTAAGCACTTGTGAAACATGTTCTTGAATTCAGGATTGTTTTTTAAAGTTCCAAAGTGTGATACAAAATTCTTTTGCAAATGTCATAGACATAGACTATGTCTTGAATTTGGATAATCCTGCAACAATCAAATAATTTCATTTTGTAGTCAGATATTAGATAAATAATGGAAGTAATTAATAAATTTTTGTCAGGAATTAAAGAGTCAAATTTAGATATTATATAACTCAAGTCAGTTATTAATCTATTTTTGTCATGCATAACAATTTATTAGTCAGGAATTAAAGTGTTTTAATCACATATTAAACAGATAATGTCAATTATATATTTATTTTCTTCAACAATTATAGAACAATTTGATATATTTTTATCAGTGTTTAGATTATATTTATCAGGAATTACATGATATTCATTAGGAATTAGCAAAGTTATAGTCATTATTTAGACAACATAAATCAAATAATTTCATTATATAGTCAGATATTAGATATATAATGGCAGTAATTAATAAATTTTTGTCAGGTATTAAAGAGTCAAAGTTAGATATTATATAACTCACGTCAGTTATTAATCTATTTTTGTCAGGCATAACATTTTATTAGTCAGGAATTAAAGTGGTTTAGTCAGATATTAGATAAAATAAATCAAGTATTGTAGTATTTTCTTCAGGGAAAACATTTTTTAATACAGAAGTTAGTACATTTTGTTCATATATTAGATAACTTATAAACAAATAATGTCAATTATATATTTATTTTCTTCAACAATTATAGAACAATTTGATATATTTTTATCAGTGTTTAGATTATATTTATCAGGAATTACATGATATTCATTAGGAATTAGCAAAGTTATAGTCATTATTTAGACAACATAAATCAAATAATTTCAGTATATAGTCAGATATTAGATATATAATGGCAGTAATTAATAAATTTTTGTCAGGTATTAAAGAGTCAAAGTTAGATATTATATAACTCACGTCAGTTATTAATCTATTTTTGTCAGGCATAACATTTTATTAGTCAGGAATTAAAGTGGTTTAGTAAGATATTAGATAAAATAAATCAAGTATTGTAGTATTTTCTTCAGGGAAAACATTTTTTAATACAGAAATTAGTACATTTTGTTCATATATTAGATAACTTATAAACAAATAATGTCAATTATATATTTATTTCTTCAACAATTATAGAACAATTTGATTTATTGTTATCAGTTTTTAGAAAATATTTATCATGAATTACATTATATTCATTAGGAATTAGCAAAGTTATAGTCATTACTTAGACAACATAAATCAAATAATTTCATTATATAGTTAGATATTAGATATATAATGGCAATAATTAATAAATTTTTGTCAGGTATTAAAGAGTCAAAGTTAGATATTATATAAATGACGTCAGTTATTAATCTATTTTTGTCAGGCATAACAATTTATTAGTCAGGAATTAAAGTGGTTTAGTCATATATTAGATAAAATAAATCAAGTATTGTAGAATTTTCTTCAGGGAAAACATTTTTAATACAGAAATTAGCACATTTTGTTCATATATTAGATAACTTTATATCAAGCAAAAATTGTTTTACTAGTGTTTGATTTTACTTAGAGTTGTTTTCAGTACTTTGTGATTTGGATAAAGATATTTAAAATAAAGATATTTAACATGAAGATATTTACCAAGACTTTTGGATAAAGATGACAAAAATGTAAGAATAAGAATTATTCGTAGAAAATTATTCTAAAAGTAAAATATTTTTTTAATATCTTATATTTGTCTATAAAACCAAGAATTGGTCATACATTTTGCATGTTTGTGTTCCTGTATATTCTCTCTCCTAAAACATACGCTTTTTCTTTATTCCTCAAATATGGAAAACAATTCTCAGTCTTCTACTTCATCAAACGATCCAGAAGAAAATGTTTTTGATAACTTTGAAAAGAGATCAAATGATCTACTTGAGAGAAGAGATAGAGTGGAGAATGGGTTGATGAAGCTGTATGAAAAAGTTGAGAAGAACAAAATCGAAGAACTGAGTAAGAGAAAGAGGGTTGAAGAAAAAATCCAGAAAGAACGAAACAAAAAAAAGAAAGAAGACGATCAACAAAAGAAGAAACAGGAAGAAGAAAAAGAAGATCAAAAGAAAAAACAAGTTTAAAATCTCAAGAAGATGATTAAGATTCTAGGGTTTTGTTTTTTTTTTTTTTTTTGATATATTATATATTTCGAAATAGTATATGAAATCAAGTATATTTCAGTAATGTACTTTGATTTTATTTTGGTTTCTCATGTATTGTCTTTTTTTTCAGTAAAATACTTGTTGGTCAAAAATTAGTATATTTAAATTTTCATATAATAGGTTTTTTTTGTCAATAATTATAATATTATTACGTGGGCAGATAAAAAGCCAGGAAATGATGAATTGATTGATTTAAAATTAAATTACTTTGGAAAAATGCACAGTTAAAACTGATATAAATAAAGTATTTTAAAATCATACTCCCAAAAAAACATTATACTCCCAAAAAAATCTATATACCCACTAGTAGAAAAATAGCAAATGGCACCGGTTCAAACCCGGCCTAAGGCACCGGTTTGAACCGGTGCCAATGTGAGGGGTGCCAAACCCCCCCCCCCTTTTGGCACCGGTTCAAACCGGTGCCAATTCATGTTTTTTTTTTTAAGTTTGCTTTATCCACACATACAATCAGAGATATAATGATCAAAATATAATCAGAAACATATAACAAGCTTGAATACGAAATATAATCAGAAATATATTGATGATTAAATTGTTATTTTACAATACAAAAAAATAAAATAAATTACAACATCAAAATCCAAAAAAAAAAAATTACAACATCAAAGAAAAAAAAATTACACATCGAACGAAAAAAAAATTACAACAAAAAAATAAAAATTCCAAAATCAACACTTTGATTCTTCACCTGCATCAATTAAAACACCGAATTAATAAAAACTCACAATAAACTAAAATTGCGAAAATTAAACCCAGAAATCACGAAATTAAAAGCAAGAAAATAAACCCAGAAATCCCCCCCCCCAATAAAAAGAAAAAACCCCAAAAATACTCACGAACTGAAAATAAAAAAAACCCAAAAACTCAAAATTATAAGAAAAATTGAAAAAAAAAATATACAAAATTCCCGAATTACTTAACAAGAATGGCTTAACACAAGTACTTCATCCATTTTTTTTAACATGCATGTACCCAGAAAAATACAAAATCCCCGAATTTTCTCTTTTAAAATTAAAACACCCAGAAAACTCAAAAAAAACAAAAACCCAAAAGACACATGCATATACCTAGAAAAATCAATTAATTAAACACAAAATTAAACCCAGAAAAATCGAATTAAAACACAAAACCGATTAAATTCGGATAATTATACCCAGAAAAATTGACAAAACTCGAATTAAAATCCAATAATCAATTAAATAAACCCAGAAAAATCGATTTAAATCCAAAATCAAACCCAAATTTAAATCCAACAAATTCGATTAACATCGAATTAAACCCCTAAAATAAACCCTAACCTCAAAGGATACCCAGAAATTGTTGTTGAAGATGATGTTGGTGGGCTTTGCGGCGGCGGTCGACCTTTGTGGTAGTGGCGGAGGCTTTGCGGCAGTGGTGATGTTGTGGTGGTGGGCTTTGTGGCGGTGGTCGAATTTGTGGTGGTGTAGATCAAAGAAAGAGAGGAGATCGAAGAAGCTAGGGAGAGGAGACGAAAGAAGATCGGTTTAGAGAGAGGAGCTAGATCGAATATGCATGGGAGATGAAGATCAATAAGGGAGATGAGAGGAGAGAGAAGAGAGAGGAGGAGAAGGGAGAGAGGAGAGAGAAGGAGATCAGAAGGAATGAAATAAAAAGAGGCGGAGTGAGTCAAATTTATTTAGGGTTTATTATGTGTTGAACCGTTTTTTTTAACATCTTATGGAACCGGTTCAAACCGGTGCCATTTGTATTTTTGGCACCGGTTTGATCTGAACCGGTGCCATTTCTCTTTGTCTAAAAACCCGTCCATTTTGAGGCCGATTTTTGGCACCGGTTTGGCCTGAACCGGTGCCATTTAGGGGTTGCCTTTTTGTATTTTTCTACTAGTGACCCTTTCATATTTCTCTTCTGTTTGTTAAAAAAACCATTCATTTCTAGTTTTTCAACAAATGATGTTTAGCAATTTTGTTCAATTTTGTTCAGATATTAGATTAATAATGTCAATTATAATAATAAAGGTATTTACTTGTTAGTAAAAAATTTATATACTTAGTCAGATAATAGATTTAAATTTTCATATAATGGTTTAAATTTATCAGAAATTAGAAATATAAACAAGAATTATACAACAATATTTTATGTTAGGACTGAGTATTATTATGTGGGCAGATAAAAAGTCAGGAAATGATGAATTGATTGATTTAGAATTTAATTACTTGGGAAAACGCGTAGTGAAAACTGATACAAATAAAGTATTTCAAACATCATACTCTCAAAAAAATCTATACACCCTTCATATATCTCTTCTGTTTGTTAAAAAAAAACCATCTATTTCCAGGCAACAAAGAATATTTATCAGTTTTGTTCAATTTTTATTCGAATTCAAGTATATTGTAACGTAGTATTTCAAATGGATCCAATAGACGACCCTCGTTACATGGCTGCTCTAGAGGATGCTCCACGTGCATTATATGTTCCTGAAATCTTATGCATGTATATTTTTCCTAAGTGCACCCCTCGAGCGCAAGCGATGTGTAATTGTGTTTGCAGGCATTGGAATGAATTATGGTATTTAAATTCTTGGATTCCTCATGTAGTTAGAGCCAGGCAGGCCAGTAAAAGGTGGTGGCTTGCAACTGATATTATGAGGCATAATTGATATGACTTTCATAATTCAATGGTTCAAGATTGGGCTGAATTTCTGGATGGGTTGCGATGGCTATTTAGGGATGAGGAAGATATGTGGAGTAAGAAAAGAAAGAGGGAGGAAGCTATTCAACCTAGCAGGCCGCAGAAGAAGATTAGGCTAGCTTAAATTCCCTGTAAATATGTTTTTCTTTAATTAAAAAGCAATGTTTTGTATAGAATTGTTATGATCTTATATAGTTTAAAGTGACAGTGTTCATTTGCTTTTGTGAGGCATTGTCACAAGTATGACAAAATATTATGAAGAAATATATACTTATGTTTTTGTTTTTGTTAATTTTCTTTTATGTGCATAATGTTTGTGAATGAAAAAACACTTCTGAATAATTGCACTATATCACAAAAAGGAATAAAATTCTTTCGTTCAAAAATTAGATTAATTTCATCAGGAACAGTTTTATTTTAGTCTGGAATTATAATAGCTAATGCAGGAATTAACATGCTTTTTTAATCAGGAATAATATTTTTTCTTTCAGGATTATTATTCTTTTACTCAGTTTTTATATTATTTATGACAGGAATCAAATCATATTTCTTAGAAATTATTTTTGTTGTATTTGTGTAAGGAATTGTAAAATTTAATTCAGTTTTCATATTTTATAGTCAGATATTAGATAATTTTTTACAGATAATACTATATTTTAATCAGTATTTCAATATATTTAGATTTTAATAAGTGTTTTGGAATTAATATTTTTAACTCGGAAATAAGCTTAACTTAGACAGGAATTAGATTTTATTAGTCAGTTGTTTCATTTTTGGATTGGTTGATTTATGTAAGGCATAATAATATTTTACTCAAGAATAATAATATTTTAGTCTGGAATTAAAGAGTAACAGTCAGATATTATATAATTAACGTCAGTTATTTTTCTATTTTTGTCAGGCATAATAATATATTAGTCAGCATTTAAAGTATTATAGTCAGATAATAGATTAAAAGTTTCATATAATAGGAATTAAGGTGATTTAAGTTATTCCATTGTATTAAAAATCAGAAATAATATTATTTCTTTCATGATTATTATATTTTTAGTCAGGTATTATATTATTTAGGGCAGGAAATAAATCATATCTCTCAGAAAATTATTTTTGTTGTGTTTTTCTAAGGAATGATAAAATTTTATTTAGCTATTCTTATATTAAAGTCAGATTTAAAATGATTCTAGACAGATATTACTATATTTTAGCCAGGAATTAAATATTTTCAAACTTTAATTAGTGTTATTTGATTTATGTCAGTTATTAATCTATTTTTGTCAGGCAAAATAATATATTAGTCAGTTTTTAGATTATTTTGATCAGAAATTACAAGAAATTCATAAGGAATTACATGATATTCAAATAGTTTCATTTTATAGTGAGATATTAGATAAGTAATTGCAGTAATTAATAAATTTTTGTCAGGTATTTTAGAGTCAAAGTCAGATATTATATAACTCATGTTAGTTATTAATCTATTTTTGTCAGGCATAACAATTTGTTAGTCAGGAATTAAAGTGTTTTAATTACATATTAAATATAAAATGTCAATTATAAAATTTATTTTCTTCATTAGTTTTAATATTATTTTCATCAAATATTACATGATATCATTAGGTATTAGTAAAGTTATAGTCATTACTTAGACAGAAATCAAATAATTTCATTTTACAGTCAGATATTATATAAATCATGGCAAAAAATTGACATATTTTTGTCAGGTATTAAAGAGTTTAAGTCAGATATTAAATAACTCCATTAGTTTTTAATTTATTTTTGTGAGGCATAACAGTTTATTAGTCAGGTATTAAAATGTTTAAATTAGATATAAAATTTTAGTCATCTATTCGTATATTATAGTCAGATATAAAATAATTCTTGTCAGATATAACAATATTTTAGTCAGGATTTAAATATTTCAGAGTTTAATTATTGTTTATTATTTGATATTTTTAACTTATGATTGATTTAAGTCAGGCTTAATACTTTTTTAGGTAATACATTATATAGTTAGTTTATAATTATCAAGAATTAAATAAAAAATCAAGATTATTTTATTTCATACAAAACATATCCCAATATAAAATACAAATACAAATATTAAGCTGAAACTGCTTACCTCTGGTATGGCGTTGCTCATTGCAAGATCTTGATCAGTGAAGATTGATTTTGGTTCAATTCCACACATTGACTTTTTGAAGATTGAAAGCAGCCAAACAAATGTATGAGTATTTTCATCAGTTATGAATGCACATCCAAACATTGTTATTTTCCAGTGATTGTTTATACCAACAAATGGAGCACATATCAACCCATATTTGTTTGTTCTGTATGTTGTATCGAAGATTAAAACATCACCATAAGCTTTGAAATCTTCAAGCATTTGGGAGTCACGCCAAAAATAGCTCACAACATTATTTTCTTCTCCAAATTTCAATCTATAAAAGAATGAGGGGTCTTGATCTGCTCTTTCTTGAAGGGTGTCTAATACATTTTGCATGTCTCCACCTTCAACCATACTCATTTTCACTCTTGATATATAATTAAGGTGATCTCTCTTAGTATGACCTACACATTCTTCTCCTCCAGCTTCATTGCTTATATAATTATAAGAATCCATTTGTTTAATACCACTCTCAATCATGCTCTCAATTAGTTCACCCATTGGAGCTGATATTTTCCTTTCTGGTCTTAGATGATGTCGTTGAACTGCTATAACCAATTCATGATTATGCTCCAACTCATGTGTAACAGCTTCGAAATTTCCTTCTTTGTTTTTCTTGAAACGAATATGGGCTTTGCATCCAGTTCTTGTCTCATTTACCTCCCTATCTTTTCTATTTTTTTCATCAGTTTTACCCAATATGGGTATTTTCACTGAATTTTGTTCACCTACTATCTTCATTTTACCCTTTGTATGTCCTTCCTTAGAACATCTAAAATAAAACTCATACAATTTATCATTGGTATCTCTTCTCTTTGTTGACTTTCTGACACTGAAACCAACAGATCTTGAATGAGCTTTGTATAACACATATCCCTCATTGTAGTTTGATACTGTATAACTTGCTAGACATCTACTTATGTTTTCATCCTTGTCATAATTGTAATAATCTGCAACAAAAGTATACATATGACACATATCATAATTTATTTTTGTCAGTAATTACAATATTATAGACAGTAAATAAATATTTTTTAAATTTATAATACTTAAGAATTACCATGTCTTAGTCAGGAATTAGATTATTTAAATCAGGAATTACTAAATACTAGTCAGGAAATAAATCATCTCAGTCTGGTTTAGGATTATATTAATCAGGAAATAGGTAATATTGGTCGGTAATAAAATTATATCATTCAGAAATAATAATATTTGTATCTGATTATAATATGTTGTTCATTGTTCATTATCTACAGGAATTAGATTATTTTTGTCATTTATTAGATTTGTTTTGTCAGGAATTAAATTATGTATGTCAGGTATTAAAATATTTTGATTAGGAATTAATTTGAATATATCAGGAATTAGATTGTATATTTCGAGAATAAAATTTTTTCAATCAGAAATTAAATTGAAACAATTTTATTAATCTAATTTCAGTGACAAAAAATAGTCAAAATATTACTCAAAAAATAGTCAAAAAATTGTTTGAATTAGAAATTAGATTATAATAGTCAGGAATAAAATTATCTCAGTCAGAAAAATAGATAATAAATTACTCAGGACATAAATGATATAGTCAGGTTTAAGATAAAAATAGTCAGTTAGATTATTGCATACAAGAATTAGAATTTGAAAAGTCATGACCTTCCCTCTTCCAAAACATAAACACTCAAAAAACACGTAAAATCATTTACCAGACATAAAATTAATTGAATAAAATGAAATGAATTTACTAGAACAGAGGTTAATTATAAATGAAAAACACATATTTGAAAAGGCATGACCTTCCCTCTTCCAAAACACTGCACCAATTCACGTTCTAAACATTATATATAAGAAACCACAGTGTACAAGAAACTATATTCAGAAAAAAAAAAAAATTGCATACAAGAATTAGAATTTGAAAAGTCATGACCTTCCCTCTTCAAAAACATAAACACTCAAAAAACACGTAAAATCATTTACCAGACATAAAATTAATTGAATAAAATGAAATGTATTTACTAGAACAGAGGTTAATTATAAATGAAAAAGACATATTTGAAAAGGCATGACCTTCCCTCTTCCAAAACACTGCACCAATTCACGTTCTAAACATTATATATAAGAAACCACAGTGTACAAGAAACTATATTCAGAAAAAAAAAAAAAAAATCCATACAAAACTATAAATTGCTACAGTTTGAATCTTAATTAATTTTATAAGAATATAACTACTGCTACTACAAAAGGTATATTTTTTCATATTATGATCATACATTTGTTAGTTTATTTTATTTTGTTTTGTTATGATTTATGTGTTTATTTTGTTTTGTTTAGATGGCTAATCAAATTGCACACCCAAATGATGCCTTAAAAGATGCACATCAAGCACTAGCAATTGAAGAGATATTATACATGCATATTTTCCCTAGGTGCACCTTCAAAGCCCAGGCGATGATTAATTGTACATGTAAATATTATAATGAATTATGGTATTATAAATTTTAGATTCCAGAAATAGTAAGAAGAAATCATAATTCAAATGAATGGTGGGTTGCATATGACATTATGAGGCATAATGGTTATGGTTTTCACAATGACATGGTGCAAGATTGGGCTGAATTTCTAGATGGATTACGTTTAATTTTTGCAGAAGAAGAAGCCAACAAGAGAAAGAGAAAAAGAGAAGAGGCAAGCCAACCAGGTAGAGAGGAAAAAAGAATTAAAATAGAGGATGTTATTAGTAGCTTATCTTCAATGTTTTGCACTTTATTATAATTAAAAACCATAACATTTCAGTAATATGTAATTTTTTTTAAATTTAGTTGATTTTATTTTATTTTTTGTTTTGTATGACGTTATAAAGTAATTAAATGTTTTTTGAAATTTATAATACTCAGGAATTAGCATATCTTAGTCAGGAATTAGATTTTTTAGATCAGGTATTACAATATATTAGTCAGGAATAAAATTAACTCAGTCAGGTTTAAGATAATATTAGTCAGGAAACAGATAATAATAGTCAGGAATTGTATTATCAATATTATATACAATAATTAAATGTTTTTAAAATTTATAATACTCAGGAATTAGCATATCTTAGTCAGGAATTAGATAATGCTGGTCAGAAAACAGATAATGATAGTAAGTTTTAAGATAATAATATTCAGATATATTATAGCATACAGAAATTAGATTTTTTTATCAAGTCAGAAATTTTTTTCTAGTCATAAATTACAATATATTAGTCAGGAAATATATTATCTTAGTCAGGAAATAGATAATGATAATTAGAAATTATAGGAATTGGAAAGAAAAGAAATAGTATTAGTCAGGAAATAGATAATGATAGTCAGTTTTAAAATAATAATAGTCAGGTTTAAAATAATAATATTCAGGCAGGAATACTAGATTTTTTTAATCCAGTCATAAATATTTTGAAATTGTCAGGAATTACATTATTTTCACTAATTTCCATATAATTTTTTTTAGGAAATAGGTTTCCATAGGAATAAAATTAATTCAGTCAGGTTTAAGATAATATTAGTCAGGAATTATATTGTCTGTAATTACATCAATAAATTACAGAGCATTTAATAATTTTACAGAACATTTAATTATCAGTACACCTATTATACTTGCAGCATCTTCATCTCTTTCTTCATCATCTCTTTCTTCATTGATATTATCTCCTAAAATTACATTATCTGCTGCATTCATCATTAGTGTTAGTATATTTGAATTTCACTCTAAAATTATCAAAAAACTGGATTCAAATTAAAATTAATTTTCTGCGACATGTAATATATACTATTCGTGAAATATAAATTAATCCTGATTTCAAATTCGATTGGAATATAAATTAAGCCTGATTTCAAATTATAAGTCGAAATTAACTACGATCTGAATTTCGATTGGCGTTGATTGCATATAATAAGTCGAAATTAACTCGAATTTAAATACGATCTGATATTAAATCGAAATTTAATACGATCTGAAATTCAATTTGGCTTGCATGCGAATTATAAGTCGAAATTCATATTTCAAATTCACTATGATACAATCTGAAATCATGAACTAAATTATATGTAATTTGAAATTCTTATATATGATTCGAAATTACATACAATCAAAATTATGAACTAAATTGTACCTTTTTAGCAGTAATTGAGCTAGAAATTGATTCTATAGGTGAAACAGAATCTCCTTCAATCATCATTCTATTGTTTGATTTCTCCATTTTTTTATGAAATTTGAAGATTTGAATTCTCTGAAATGTGAGGAAATGAAGTGGTTGAAATTCGACGAAATGAAAGCGTTCGAAATTTTCAGTGAATGACGACGCACGAAATTTTATGAAAATGATGAAAACGAAATATTCAGACACTTTATAAAATGGAGTGCGGGCTTTGGTCGGGTTGATCAGGCCCGCGCCTTCTTAATTAAGGAGCCGGGACTCACGTGAGTCCAGTCTCACGCAAAACGCTTTGAAAAATTATAGGGATTTGTTAAACATCGCCCACAAATTACTACATAAAGCCCACAAAATTCACTTGGTTTGACAATATTGCCCTTGACCTTAAAAAAAACACTCACACTCTCATCACTCACACTCTCATCGCTCATCTTCTTTCAACCTCTCTAAAAAAAAAATTCAAACAACGGCAATGTCGAGGCGGCAAGGCAAGGAATTGGCAGCGGCGGCAGAGGGAAGGAGGTCCCAAGGAGGCAAGGTACAATTTGTAAAAAAAAAAAAAAAAGGAAAAACCGCTGTGACGGAGGTGGGGCGCCCTGGCTGGACGCCCAGCCAGCGGTGGTGGCGCCAGCTGCAGACGCCGCCACCAGTAGGCTGGCGCCTGGGCTAGACGCCATAGACACGGTTGTGGCGTTTATTCAACGCCCCCCCCCCCCTTTTTTTCTTTTTTTTTTTTCTTTTATATTTGTTTTAAAATATTGTTTTTTTTTTTGTGTAATATCTTTTTGAATTGTTTTTATATTTTGTTGTTTATTTTTATAAATTTTTTCAATTTTGTTGTATTTTTTCTATGTTTATATTTTGTTTACAATTATTTGTTTGTTTTTTTTGTACATTTTTATTTTTATTCTCTATTTTGATTTGTTTTTAAATTTTTTTTGTGACTTTGATATTGTTTTTGGTTAGTTAATTTATTTTAAATTTTATTATTGATATTGTTTTTGGTTAGTTAATTTATTTTAATTGGGAATGAATTATTTATGTTTATATATATTCTTCTGTGTTGGTTTTATTTCCTTTCTAAGTGTATTTTTTATTCTAATATTTTTATTTAAGTGTTTTGTTAATTTCTTTATTATGTTAATTTGTTAGTATGTTTTTAGTTTATTTGATTTGGGTAGTGGTAGCTATTTTTCGTATAAATTTTTGTATGTTTATATATTTTAAAATTTTGTGTAGAATTCACTGGGTCGTCATGGTGCGGGGAAGAATGTAGAGCTTCTTAGTAGAAGCTATTCAGTGGAGAGGTCGGGGCATAGACATGTCAGATCCCGTGGTATTTCGGCCTCAGCTCGTAGAGAACGGATCCACCGTCGGGATGAGGATGACGATGACGATGATGATGCTGAGGAGGGTGACCAGGAGGAGGAGCAGGAGGAGGGCGCAGATGAGGATGAGGATGTGGACGATGGCAGTGGACCGTATGATGATTACGGTCCATTCAGTCAGAGGGTTGATGACATGTACGAGACACATATGGTACGTTTGTTAGTAGATCTGGCACATCATCTGCGTCCACTGTATCTGGGGCAAGCAGGAAACGGTCGAGGGCCGGTAATGATTCTTGGGTTGTTAGGAGTGAGGTGCCCGGTGGGCCTGTTGACGGGAGTGTGATTCCTAGCTTTCTAGGACACATAGCTGCCCGTATTTGGGAGGACCAGGAGAGGCCTTCAGTTACGGGGTTGTTGAAATGTCATACCCGGGAAAAGACTTGTAGCTTTTTGCGTACATGGGCTGAGGCTTGGCCGGCGGAGAGCGAGATGTTCGAGCGACTGGAGGGCACTGGGGTGAATCACGTTCCTGCCACCATGCACGATAAGATTGACAGTACGCTGATCACGGCTTTCATTGAGCGATGGCAGCCGGATACAAACTCTTTCCATCTTCCGTTCGGTGAGATGACGATCATGTTACATGACGTCGAGGCCATTCCGGGGATTCGTGTTGAGGGTAAACGACTTTGTGCTATGGCTGATGCGGATCAGGCAGATTTGCTGGCGGAGTTGTTGGCGGTGGACAGGGCTGCACTGTACACCGAGGCGCTAGGTGTTTGGGAACACGGAGGTGTGAAGATCGCATCCGTGTTGCAGCGGTGTTTGTACCCCAGTGCACGTAGGACGCACGACGCACAGCTGAGTGCTTATGTTTTTCTACTCCTCGGATGTACCTTGTTTCCGGATAAGAGCGGCGGAAACAAGCTCAGGCCACGCGACATAGTAGAGGCGTGTGACCCCGAAAGTGTAGGCCAGTTTTCCTGGGGATCTGCTACGTTGGCGTATTTGTATCGCCAACTAGGATTTGCGAGTCGGGCTGACGCGGCAGGTATCACTGGGTGTCTGACTCTATTGCAGACCTGGATATACGAGTACTTTCCTGCATTGCGACCACATCGTGACCCGGTTCCTATTGATGAGGGGATGCCGCGTGCTTGTGCGTGGAGTCTGCGCTCGGAGAAGAAGTTCGTTGACCGCCTCCGATCGATACGGTTATTGCTGGACAGGCTGTCCCCCCTAGAGGTAACGTTTATAAATTGTTTTTACATTTTATTATTTGCACATATTATATTCATGTTATTAAATTTTAAAACTATGTGCAGGTGAACTGGATGCCTTTCGGCCCGAACCCTAGTGTTAGGGTACCCAGGACCCTGTACACGGGACTCATTCAGTATCGTGAGATCGTCGAGGCGTACATGCCCCAGCGTTGTCTTCGCCAGCTTGGATTTGTCCAAGTTGTCCCTCCTCCCCCGGCATGCCCGATGAAGGCGGTCCGACCTGCATCGTCGAGGGACTACGTCGTGCAATGGCCGGATATCATGACCGGGACGTGGGACCAATTTCCGATGGTGGCCCGCTTATGGACTGCGGAGTTGCAGCGGCCGCCCTCTAGGGTTCCTCCCATGTGTGACCATTACTACATGGAATGGTTCAACCGGTATTCGCACCCAAGGTTGATCGCAGATCTCGACCACAGCGATGATGATTATGTGCCACCGCCTACTGCCATGGAAGCGGTATGTCTCATATTATATTTATCGTTGTCTTTTAATTAAGTTTTATATGTTGTTATTGTATTTCATCTTTTGTTTTTTGTTGTATGCAGTGGATGGGAAAGATAATGCAGGACGTACAGAAACTCTCTCTTGAGAAGGACAGCATGAGTGCAACAGGGAGAGCTGTTGTTGATAGTCTGGAACAGACCCTTGCGCAGTGGGAGTCGTCGTCGAGGAGGGATTACTGATGGTTTTGTCATTTTATTTATAGAGCACTTTAAATATTATCGTTTTAATTTATTAAATTGGACATTATGTTGTAAGTTTGTAACATTTTAGATTGTTCTTTTAGCTTCCAACTTAAACATATTATCATTGCTGTTTTTAAATTTTGATATAACCGTTCGTGGATCCGCGCAACTTACCCATGTAACATATAGAATAAAGTAAGCAATACAATATAAAAGATTAATGTTCTCATTAAAAGAGCAACGTACAAATAAGATTACATAGGAAGAATGTAAACATGAAAAACTAAAATGCAGCTAGGGTGTTCCATTCGTGGATCCGGTCATGATATAGCGCATCCCAACCCTCTACGCTCGCTGTGCGAATGTTGTACCACCGAGGTATAATCGGTGGCACTGGAAAATCGGATGACATGTCTAGTCGGATGAAATGTCTGTATGACGACCCAAGAAACGCAATAGCTAGCTCTCAACTCTACATGTTGTAGTGTTCTCGAAATGAAGTACCTGGTTTGTCCAATATTTGACAAACTTTTCCCTGTGAGGGACCCATTGCTGCATCACATAGTCCACCAGTGCCGGACACCACTGGTACGAATCCCTGAAGTTAGCCAATGCTCGCTCATACGCTTCCTCTGTGGTAGCCTGTAGGATCTTCCGCCACTTACCATTCACCAATCTCTCTGCCATTTCCAAATTCTTGTTGAAAAGGTTGTAGGCTTTCACTTTCACGCAGTTGTTGATGTGCCATGTGCACAATAAGTGGTTCGATTATGGAAACAGCTCTGCTATGGGGGCAAAGAGACCTCCCTCACAGTCGCTGACGATGGCTGCTGGATGAACATTAGGCCCGATTTAGTTTCTCAGCTTCTCCAACACCCAATAATAACTTGGAGCCGTCTCATCCTTGATGATTGCATGACCAATCAGAAAGTTCTGGTTCGTTGGAGTCATCCCCATGATCTCAACCAGTGGGAACTTGTACTTGTTTGTCTTGTACGTTGAGTCGATCAAAATCACAAATGGCCAAGACTTGATCATATCAGCATAATCAGGATGCACAAGGAAAAGATGAGTCACCTCCGCTGTATCTTCATCAGAATCAAACCAGAACAGGTAACCACGTGATTGTGCCTGGTGTAGCAGCCGCTGTATAGGGTTCCTTCCCTCTGACCGTTCAAACCTGAGTTGCTGTCTGACGTTGTAGATGTGTCTTCGGTTTGGA